CAAAAACTTACACAGAGAATCGCAAGAAAATCTTCCCAATCTCAACTTTCCTTCTCAATCTGATTACCTTCTCAATCTCAACTTTCTGACATAGTTAATCGCGCAATAAAAAAAGCAACGATCGAAGGATTACCGATAAAGTAGGATTAAATTGCAACGATGATGGAGGTTATATCAACAGAGATTGAAGCATCTCCATTGCCGACAATACTGGCATAAGGTATTCAATTGATTTTGATGTCAATATTGTTGATCCTAATTTTGACGCAATAGTTGAAATTTAAATTATTCGAGGTTGATGAAGTTGATGTTGTTGATTTTGATCTTAATGAAATTGTTTTTGATGAAAAAAACATAATTTACGCAGAATATAACACCCAATCTGCACCTAATAGATCATGTTAGTCAGAAACTTTGATTTACGATTTAATCGTCAATTTCTGAAATCTAGCACGCATGATCAACTATCCTAGCAACTAGGTACAACTAACCTAGCATGAGTATACAACTAACCTAGTAACCACAGAACAAGTAACGTGGCAACTGGACATAACTAACCTTGAAAGTGAATAGAACTAATAACTAACCTTGAAAGTGAATAGAACTATCGTAGCAACAAAATACATCTAACCTAGCACCTAGAGACAACTAACCGAGCAGATAGATAAAACTAACCTTGCAAGTTAAAAACACCTAACCTAGCAACTGGACATAACTAACATAGCAACATGATAGAAGTACCCTAACAACACAGACTACTAACCTAGCAAATTAACATAACTAGCCTAGCAACATCAGACAAGTAACCTAGAACCAACAGAAACTAACCTAGCACCAACAGTCATCTAACCTAGCAACAACATACAACTGACATTGCAACGGGATATAACAAACCTTGCAGGGCTATATAACTAACCTAGCACCAACAATCAACTAACCTAGCAACAACGGACTACTAACCTAGCACCATCAGACAACTAAACCTAGCAGCAACGGACTACTAACCTAGCAACAGCATATAATTAAACTAGCAACTAGACACAACTAACCCAACAACTAGACATAACTTTTACCTTGCAGCTATTGCAATTATTAAGTGGCTTATGAATGATTCCTATTATATTTTGCAGCATGTATTACACATGGGGAATGCCAATTCCAATTGGTGATATCACCAAATTCAACAAAGTATTGGATACCAATTGTCAAAGAAGATATAAAGCCTAAAGTTGGCTTGATCTTTGAAACCCTTGAAACTGGACTGCAGTATTACAGAAAGTATGGAGCAAACGGTGGATTTGATGTTCGTATTAGCTCGAACTAACGTTTTAGAAGTGGGATGGTCAGAAAACAACTCATAGTTTGCAGCAGAGAAGGATTTAAACCACAATCGAGGACAAATAATCCACAAGGAGGAGGAGTTCAACAAGAACGTGTTTCAAAAAGAGTTGGCTGCATGGCTCGGGCAGTGTTTGAATATGATGATGGAAAAGGATACAAAATTACTTGCTTTGAAGAAAAACACTGCCACAGTCTGACTTTGGAAGCACATTATCTGAATACAAACAGACAACTGAATTATGGCCACCAGAAGTTTGTCCTAAATTGTGTAAAAGCCAACATTGGAATGGCTAAAACACACAGGTTGTTCAAAGAAATGGTTGGAGGATATGAAAATGTTGGTGCTCTGTCAACGGCTTTCAAGAACTTCAAAAGAGATCTTATGGCTTACATGTCAGGGGCAGATGCACAACTCATCGTACAAAAATTTCTCAGCAAGCAAGAAGTTTAAACATTACATTTGAATATGCAGTGGATGAAGAGAAAAAATTAAGCCGAATCTTTTGGGCAGACCAAATATCAAAAAGAAATTACCTCATGTTTGGGGATGTTGTTTCATTTGATG